CGGAGGGTTGGGTGGCAGCGAGTGGCTGGTTCACGCCATGCCAGGTGCAGGGTCTGCTGGCTGGGTGCTGGCAGGCTTGCACATGGCATGGGCACCGTAGCCAGACTGTGGCCCTTTAAGTGCTCTGGGGCTGGGACGGGGGCAGAAGAGTTTCCCTGGCTTGGCCCAGAGTGACCACCAGGGCAAGCTGGGAAGGGCTAGCCTCCAACTAGTTCGAATTAAGTGGCTACACAGCCCTTAATTCGAACTACTTAATTCGAACCAGACGTTAATCCTCATAGAATGAGGTTTACCTAGTTCGAATTAAGCACTCTGCTAGTTTGAATTAAGTGCTCTGCTAGTTCGAATTAAGTTCGAGCTAGCGGTTTGTATGTGTAGCGCCTATTAAAGCTAATTCGAACTAATGGCTGTTAGTTCGAATTAACTTTGTAGTGTAGACATACCCCAGGAAACGACACTGATAGGGAAGGTAGGGAGTAACCCAGGGAATGGATGGTTGCTGAGACTGACCAATCCTGAACACAGGAGAATTGGTTTCTCAGGACCCTGGATTGGGTCCCTGTGGAATAGGGTGGGCTCGGATCCCGCACATTGCACACACCACTGGATGTGGTCACCACCCCAAGGAATGCACTCTGCTGCTCAAAGGCAGCGGCATAAACTCTGGCCGCTGGGCTATGCTGCCCTGAAGACTAGGAGTGTTGCATTAACCCTAGGGGCTGTGCCCTGTTACCATAGGGACAAGAGACAACCCAGGGAACTCTTGCCACTTGAGCTGTAGCCCCTGTTTTTCATCTTGTTTGGTTTAACGTCCCGTGGAGGAGTATATCAACCCATGGCAGTATGGGAAAGGATGGTATCTTGTTGTTTTTCCAAAGGGGTCATCCCATCCTGGGGCCACTTTAGAATGTTGTCATTCCCCTGGATCGCCAGACACTTTATGGATACTCTGTGGTCGTCTTGAAGGGTATGATCCAATCTGAGAGCCTATTAAAGGAGAAGCATAATATCACAGAATACAGTAACCGGAAGGGACCTTGAGATATCATCAACAGGGAAGAACATGATACTAACAGAAAACTCATAAACAAGTACTTGAATAATATAGTTTAGAGCAGGGGTGTCCAAACTTTTTTCAGAGGGGGCCAGATTTGATGAAGTGAACATGCGTGAGGGCCGACCATTTTGCCTGACATTCTTTGAACCATTAAAATTAAATGCAAATTAACTATTTTATGCAAAGTTTATTGCAAACGGCATACTTTTCATTTCGTCACATGGATGACAAATCTAAACAGGTGTTAAATCACTCTGCCTTTCATATCTGAAGGCCAGATGAAAAAAAAATCCAGGAAGCTGAAATATATGTCAGGAACATTGTAAAGTACATTACATATTATTGGTAATAAAGGTTGTCTGTCAACTTTTAAGTTCAAAAAATATGAACAGGAACATAACACCAAGTATACATGTTGTGTCCAAATATATTTATAACTGATTTAGACCAACTGACATTAACTGAGATTTTACAACGTATTCATCTCAATACATATGGATTCGTTGGGGGCCATAAAAGATAGATATTGCCAAATTACCTGGGGGGCCGTATTAAACCGGAACACGGGCCGCAATTGGCCCGTGGGCCGGACTTTGGACATGCCTGGTCTAGACCATCCCTGACAGATGTCTTTCTAACCTGCTCTTAAATATCTCCAGTGATGGAGATTCTACAACCTCCGTAGGCAACTTATTCCAGTGTTTAACCATTCTGACAATTAGGAAGTTTTTTTCTAATGTCTAACCTAGACCTCCCTTGCTGCAGTTTAAGCCCATTGCTTCTTGTCCTATCCTCAGAAGCCAAGGAGAACAATTTCCCGCCCCCCTTTCCCGATGACATCCTTTTAGATATCTGAAAACCGCTATCATATCCCTTTTCAGTCTTCTCTTTTCCAAACTAAACAAGCCCAATTCCTTCAGCCTTCCCTCATCAGTCATGTTTTCTAGACTTTTAATCATTTTTGTTGCTCTTCCCTAGACATTCTCCAATTTCTCCACATCCTTTTGGAAATGTGGTGCACCAAACTGGACACAATAGTCCAACTGAGGCCTAATCAGTGCAGAGTAAAGCGAAAGAATGACTTCTCGTGTCTTGCTTACAACACTCCTGTTAATGCATCCCAGAATCATGTTTGCTTTTTTTCGCAAGTGTCACACTGTTGACTTATATTTAGCTTGTGGTCCTCTATGACCCCCAGATCCCTGTCTGCAGTGCTCCTTCCTAGACAATCGCTTCCCATTCTGCATGTGTGAAATGGATTTTTCCTTTCTAAGTGGAGCACTTTGCATTTGTCCTTATTAAACTTTATCCTATTTACCTCAGACCATTTCTCCAGTTTGTCCAGTTCATTTTGAATTATGACCCTATCCTCCAAAGCAGTTGTAACTCCTCCCAGCTTCGTATCATCTGCAAACTTAATAAGCATACTCTCTATGTCATCATCTACATCCTTGATGAAGATATTGAACAGAACTGGTCCTAAAACAGACCCCTGTAGAACCCCACTTGTTATGCCCTTCCAGCATGACTGTGAATCATTAATAACTACTCTCTGAGAATGGTTATCCAGCCAGTTATGTAATGTCCTGTCCTAAGGACCTCTTTAGAGGGGGAGATATTTTAACGATATCCCCATGAGAGCTGGGAGGGAATGGCTTATTCTAGAACCACTTTAGCCAGAAAAAGCGTTATCAATATACACTGGTAGAATTCACAAACTTTAGGGGAAAATGTTTTTTAGGAGCTGTGTCTTGGGTATCCCTTGGTCAAATGCCTGAAAATTTGGAATGCTAACTCTTGCAAGCACCCTGGCAAGGCACACCAAAATTCAAGGAAATCCACCTAACCATGTGGATTTTAGAAGCACTTAGAACAGTCAAACGTTAAACAGAAAGCTGGTCTCAATCTTAAGGTGGATTTGGCATGAGCTGTTCTGGGGCCTCTTTAGAAGCAGGCAATCATCTCTGAACCTTGAGCTTCCTTGCATAGACTATCCCAAACGGGGGAGCCTTTCAGAAGCTGAGAGCTTTATTGAGAGCCCAGTGTTAGGCCCCAGAGGGTGTGTCTAGACTACAGAGTTTTTTCAAAAAAAGTGGCCTTTTTTAGAAAAAACTTCACCAGTATCTAGACTGCCATCATGTTCTTTCGAAATTAAATCGAAAGAATGCAGCGGGTTTTTTTCGAAATCGATAAACCTATGTTTACCAGGAAGAACGCCTTTTTTCGAAAGAGCTCTTTCAGAAAAGGCATTCTTGAACACAAACAGGGCTTTTTTGAAAGAGAGCGTCCAGATTGCCCGGGTGCTCTCTTTCGAAAAAGCGAATCACTTTTTCTAAACTCTTGTGGCTGTCTAGGCAATCTCTTTTGAAAGAGGCTTGTAGTCTAGATGTACCCAAAGTGACATAAACTCTCAGCGATCCATGAGAACCAGAAAAATCTTTTTATTTGTCCTTGACAGCCCTGTGATGGGCTAAGAATGTATCTTCTTAGGCAAGAGGGGTCTTGCCTGGCTTGTGATCTTGAAGGGTGATAGAAGAGGCCTCTCCTGTGCTTGATTGCATCTCCCTCCTCCCTCAGGCCACCTGCGTGCTCAGTATGTGCTGAAGATGGCCTTGATATGCTCGTTGTTACTCGGTATGTAGCTGTCGACACCTGGAAGTAATGGGACAGGGTGGTAGGGCAGGAGCAGTCCTGCTTAGCCTCCCTCTATTGCTGTTGCCCCCCTCCTACAAAACACCCCGCTTGGGCAGAACAGATGCAATTCTCACAACAAGCAGCTTCCCCCTGCTGAGTGGTTGGCAACAACTATCCCACTTGCTCCCTTCCCCCCACACTGTTCCTCACCTTGATCCAGGGGTTTTGTGCCATTGAAGAACTGCCAGAAGGTCCTGTCATTGGTGCTGGCAGCACGATGGTTGATGGAGACCACCATGAGGCCCCAGGATGTCTGCTCTGTTTCGTAGCTGCAAGGGGAGTGAAGGCAAGAGTCAGGAGGGAGCCGGGATGATGGGGGAAGGGTACAGCTGGGGGCTGCCGAGAAGGAGGGGGATGGATCAGGAGAGAGGCAGACGGAGGGAGGATGAAACCACAGCCACGTACGGCCTGCCTTGCTCACCTGAATATCTGTGGCTCTTTCTGCTTAGCCTCCTGCAGGACAGAGAGCAGGACGGAGCCATTGGGTACACTCACGGTGGTGGTATTTTCAAAGCGTGTCCCTCTGAGGTGGTTGATGATGGTGTATTTCACTGTGACTAAGCAGAGAGGAGATAAGAGCAGATGCGTGACAGATGTGGGGTCTCCTCAGGGGAGAGACCAAGACTTGGATAAGATGTTGGGAGAGAAGAACTCATATCTAATTGCACTGCCCCAGACTGAGTCCTCTTGCCTGGGCCCGTGTGAGCCCCAGCCATTGGGGTGGAAAACCCCTCACCCTCAGCAGCCAGGTTTTGCCCCAGGGGTGAGGAAATCTGGGGCCAATGGGTAGGAGAGACCCAGACCTCCAGGCACAAAATGACAATTGCAGAAGGGGAAACTTGGGAGGATCCTTATGTCATTGAGGATGCTTTGGGAAAGAGATGGACCTAGTTACGAAATAGCCCCTTGCAGGGCATGACTGCAACACTATTAGGGCGGCAACACTAATAGCTCTTTGGACTGGGTGGCCAAGCAAGACGGGTTGGAGAACATGCCAGCTAGAGGGACCCATGGCTACAGAAGCTACAGAAGATCCCATAAGGGAATGCCAGGGTAACAGAGCAAGAGACAGCCAGATCATCTACAACTAGTGCTGCAGCCAGGAGTTGTGTGCACCCAGACAGTGGGGAATCAGCTGATGGCAGAGAAACAACCCAGGAACGCAGCAGACCAGAGGTTCGCCAACATTGTCACAGGGCAAACACATCCCCTGGGGTCAGCTAACACGGCCTAAGTGCTGCTCTCACACCCCTCTGGCTGCAGCAGCCCCACATGACCATTTCAGCTGCCGACTAGCAGGAGGGAGCAGCCCTTTGGCTGCCCTGGCTGTTCCAAAGCCTGCCTCTGGGAAGCACCTGGACCAGCACCAGAGGCTAGGAACAGAGCAGAGAGAGAGCTGCTCCCAGTATCCGTATGCTAGCCAGGGAACCCTCAACCCTGGGATTATTCTCAGGGGGTCAGTGGCCCAGAGGCAGTATGAGGACCGGCTAGCACAGCCCTCTGCCAAGGAAAACCACCAAGGGGAGATCTCCGGGGTCTCTGTTACATTGCTCCAAAGGGCACGGGAAGGGGCTATGGAGCATCCTTACTTGTATCTGAGGGGCAGCTGAGTCTGGTCACACTCAGGTAGGTTTGGCCCACGAGGGAAGGGAGGATCTGGGCAGCAGCCATGGGGTTGTTGAAGGCTCCCCGGGAGATCTCCGTGAGCACCCTGGTGAGGGTCTGTGAGCAGCTCCAGTCCCTGGAGGGATAGGACGCCGAAGTGGCAGTGAGCGCCTGTCAAAGGAGGAGAGAGACGCCTGTGACAGAGCAGGGCCCGGTGGGAGACTGTAGGGGGCTGTATCCCTGTGCGCTCAGCCCCACTGCGCACTGTCCTGCGGCCATTTGGTCACTGTCCAGCCGGGTAGGAACCTCGATCCGGTCACGGCACAGCCAGCCCCGTGGCTCAAGGTGCATCGGAGGCTCTGCACCAGGCCAGTGTTCCCAGCAGGGAGAGGTGGGGAGGTGGTACCTGCAGAGCCAAGCCAACGCTGTATATGTTTGCGGTGTTGGTTTCCAGGGCCTTGAGGATCTGCTGCTGGAGCCTGCTCAGCGCACCGTCGATGACCTCCTGGATCCTGCTCTGCTCAGCCTTCGGCAGCCCATCGTGCACACAGGTCAGCGCCAGTGTCACCATGGCACCGGTGTCTGTACATGGCACGCGCCCCACGGACACCACAGCCACCGGGGTGGGAGGAGACAGCAAGGATAGTTAGAGCAGCACGTTCTTGGGAGCCCAGCTCCATGCAGCTGGCAAGAAGGGAGCAGTGAGGAGGAGAAGAAGGTGGCAGGGCACAGAGTGGGAGGCAGGGCTGTCCCAAGGGCAGTGCAGGGCCTGGGACCACCCACTCATCTGCCCCAGGCCCTGCCCCTCCTCTCTGCACCCCTGCTCTGCCCCTGATCCCCCTCAGCTCTGCCCCTTCCCCCAAGTCTCTGCTCCACCCCTATCTGCACTCCACCCCTTCCCCCAAGCTCCTCCCCTGAGCAACGCAAGCCCGGGGACTGATGCCGACAGCCGGGGTCAGTCCCGCCCCTGCACGCGCCGATAGTAGCGGGAAGTGGAGTGACCTGTCCTCAGCCTGCTCTGCTGTGCCAGCTCCCACCCATGTTGCTCCACTTCCCACTGCCAGTGAGTGTGGGAGGCAGCTCCACCCCTTCCCCCAAGCCTCTGCCCTTGAGCAACACACCTGGGAGCTAGGGGAGCGAAGCAGGATGGAGCTGGGTCCCTCTGCTTCCCACCACCTAGGGAGTGTGGGGGCAGGCCCAACCCCTCTGTGGGGCCTGCGGTGGCTGCCTTGAACTGTCCAGTGGACAGGACGTCTTGCTGGCCAGGAGGGGGGCAAGGAGGGGAAGGCTCCTCAGCAGGTAAGGGGGGTATGTTGAGGGTGAAGTCAGTGAGTGGAGCAGGGTGCCGGATGGGAAGCAAGCCCCTGCGTCACTGAGGCTTGGAGCAGGAAGGGGCTAGTGCTCACAGCAGCTGATCTTACCCACAGAGAGGTCCTCAGCCAGTGCCAGCCTGGCCAGGGGTACAGCTGCCTCCTGGGCATCCGCCCCCTCCAGGCACAGAGCCAGCGTGTCAAGGCCAAGCTGGTAGAACGTCGTCTTGGGAGAGTCGTTTTTACCTGGAAAACACCAGTGCAGAAGTGACTGAACCCTGTGGCCTCCCTTCCCCCAGAGGGTGTGTCTGTAGATCAGGCAGGGACCTGCATCGCCTTGTCCCTGTCCTCACCGACGCTGTTCCCCTGAGGGCGTAGGAGGTGCCCTTTGAGCGGCTAAGCTGCCAGGACAGCAGCTGCCACCAGGGCCCCACTCACCTGGGTAAAGCAAAGCTCCCAGCAATCCTTTAGCTGAGATGGTGGCACAGTGCAGATCTGGGCAACCCGTGGCCGCCCGGGAGATTTGCAGAGCACACTCCTCCTGGGACAGAGAGATCCCAGGCACACTTGGGCAGCACCCCAACAGTGTAAGGCGACCTGGTGTTCTGTTCCCAAGGCTCTCGTCTAGCGCTTTCCATCCCTCAATTTCAAAGTGCTTTACAGAGGAGGATCATTAGCCTTGTCTCCCAGATGGGGAAACCGAGGCACAGAATGATTCCCCTCCCCCGCCTCCCCGCAGAATCCAGGTTAAATTCTTATGTGTTTGAAGCCCTGCTCGCCCTTCTTACTCAAATAGGCCAATTCCTCATCGGTTTTGCATTTTAAGACTTCGACCAAGTTGATCTCAGGTGTGACATTCTTGGGGTCCTTGCAGGACGAGAGGAGGGCGAGGATGTAGAGGGCCACCTCGCCAGAGGTCATTCCTGCAGAATGAGAAGGGGGAGCAGAAGAGAGAGACACACAAACTCATCAAGGCGTCCTTGGCACAACGCACCACCACAGATAAAGTCTTTCTTGTTTTCTTGGGTCAAAGCCATTATCAGAGTGTGCATCTGAAACACCAAGAGGAGCGAGAGTTTTAATGCACAGGCTGGGGGCAGCCAGCGCATGTGCTGTTATCAAAGCTAAGGGTGGCTGTAGGATGGGCAACACTTGAAGGACACTTGTGTGGTGCACGGAGAGGAAGGTGACTTACTGCTCTGCCTTCAGAGTTGGTTCAGCCTTCAGCACCTTGGCAGAGTGCTAGCAGGTGCTGTCTATCAGATGGGCTGTCAAATTCAGGCCCTGCGTGCTCATGTGTAGTAAAGATCACCTGTTGCTCTTCGTGACAGAAGGCTGTTAGGCCTGGCCTCTTGCCTGCGTTCCAGCACTATCACCACCCTTCCTCCTGAAATCCCTCTTGGGTTGTTTATTATTCTACCAGGGTAGCCTCTAAGCGCCCTGGCTGAGATCTGAGCCCTTTTGCGCTAGGCACTGTACATCTGTGCACTATGAGCGAGTTCCTGCCCCAAAGAGCCTCCAGTCGAAATCAACAATGATTTTTTTTGGTCCTGTCTATGCAGCCACCCAACAGGGCAGAATTAAGGGTTGATGTGAAATCATAACTGCGACAGCTGACTTTTCAGTGTCTAACCTGGAAATGTAATGTCATCTTCACCAGCCGGGTGTCAGGGTCAGGGTATTAGCATGGAATGTTTATTACAATCCCCTCCAAACTCTGCAAAAGGCAGCTGGAAGGAATATTCTTCCCTATTGCCACTAGGGGTCAGCCTTGGCATCATTCCTTACACCAGAGGCTGGTCAGGGAGTCCTTTCGGATCTGTGATTATACAAAATCAGGCTGGCGGAAGGGACGGACAGGCTGGGCAGCAGCAGAAAGGACCGGCGAGGCAGCAGTGCTGCAGCAACGGAAGTGTGGGGTGTCACAGAGCACAAATTGAACATGAGCCAACAGTGCAGTGCGGTGGTGAAAATGGCAAATGTCATTCTGGGTGTATTTACAGCAGTGCCATGTGTGAGAGAAGGGGGATCATTTTCCTGCCCTACTCAGATCTGGTGAGACTTCTGTTGGAATCCAGTGTCCAATCCTGGGCACCTGGTTTAAGAAAACTGGGGACAAGCAGGAGAGAATCTAGAGAAGAGCAACACATAAGGACAGGTTTGTTTTGAGAAGGGAAGGCTAAGGGAGGCCTGATAACAGATTTTGTTAGAAAGCAGACAAGGATCCGTCGTTCCCCATGCCCACTGAGAGCAGAACAAGAAGGAATCAGCTTGGTTTGCTGCGGGGGTGATTTTGGTTAGTTATCGGGAAAAACTTTCTCACGCCGAGGATCGTTATGCACCGGCGGCTACTTAGGGAGGCCTGAAGAATCCTGTCACTGGAGGATTTTAAGAAGAGGCTGGACAAACACCCGTCAGGAATGGTCTAGGTTCACTTGGTCCTACCATAGCACAAGGGGCAGGACTACAGAACCTCCCAAGGTTCCTTCTTCTCTGTGATTCTACGACTAAAGCTTTTGGCAGTTCTTTTAGAGGCAGAGTATGTGGAGAAGGGATTGGGCATATGCAGAGAAGGCCTGATCCAATGCCCTTTGAAGTCTGTGGGAAGCTCCAGTCGACCTCTGTGGGCTTGTGATCCGGCACCCGCAGAAGTATCTCTGATTTCTGGCCACCTACCTGCTGTGCCATTCTGGATGACCCGGTCTATGATCTGCTGCACCAGTAGGTTTTCCATCGTGCTGTTCTGGGCACCGGCCAGATTCAAAGCGATGAGGATGCTGGGGTTCGGTGGGCTCTGCAGAACCACAGAGCTCTCCAGGCTACTCTGGAGTTTAGTGACCAGGTGCTGCTGGTCGACAGGAACAGCTGGGGGTGGGGAGAAGCAGACATGAGTCCAGGAGGACACATGCCCCTGGGAGCCGCCTCTGCAGCCCTGCGATATGGACTAAGGTGCACTCCTCCGCAGACTCACTTTCTTTGGGGGTCCTTGGCTCTGCCTGACGCTGGGAACCCTCCCACCTCTGCTTATTTCCTTTACCAGAGCACCAGGGAGATATTGAACCACCCCGCCCCAGTGACCGCCCCCCTCTCCTCCATGGCGTTGGTCTCCTCCATGGAAGGGCTGGTACTCACTGCACATTTCCATGGCACTGCCGGCTGCGCAGAGCGCACACAGAACAGCGAGGACCCAGGGGGACATCCTGCCTTGTCTTCTGGGCAATGGTTCTGCCGGGGGGCAGGATTGTGGGAGCCAGGGAGCGTTGGCAGCCTTCTGCATCCTCCTTTATACAAGCTCTCCAGCACGGCCCACACCCTCTCCCTGTCTCCCCTGCCCCGTCTCTGATACTATTCATCTCTCTTCGCTTATCGCACTTTCCACAACACAAGAGTTTGTGTTTCCCAAGAATTCCCCAAGGTGACTCTAGAGAACAAATACAGGAGCTGGCTGGCAAGGTGGGGCCAGGCACACAGGTAGTGCAAGGACACAGGACATTGTTGTACCCCATCCTGGGGCGAGCAGCCATCTGGTTGGCTAACCAACATGTGAGGTGAGTAGGACAGACGGGGACCCGAGAACAGGCCCAAAATCAAGAGGAGTCAGTCGAGCTGTAGCCTTCCCTGTGTGCCCGGGCATTTGGTCCTGGTGAATTCCCCTCCTGATCTTGCTGAGAGCCAAAGCTCAACACCCAGTTCGTGTCTAGCACTTTGCAGCAATAGATCTCCAAGCACCGCACAAAGGAGATCAGCATTGTTGCCTGTATTGCAGGCAAAGGACGTGCCCTGGCTGCCTCCCTGCTGAGATATCTGGGGAGACAGATCTGCTCTGCTGGCGGGGGGCAGGGGAGGAGGGTATCTTCAATGCTTCACTGTCTGGAGATGGAGCCCCAGTTCTATATGTGGCTCAAGGTGGCTGGAGGGAGAGTCTGTCTTGTGTTAGGCAGGCAGGCAGACAAGGTGATCTATGGTTCATTTAGGCCAAGGGTGTGGAACCGAAGGATGCGGCCCCCAAGGCTTGGGGCTTTTCCCCCAGCATTGCGGAGCCCACAATGGTGCTCCAGTTCCCCCGCTACACCCCTTCTCCCAGGGCTGGAGCACACAAAATATACTAGCCTGGGCCCCCCTAGACCCTGGTGCATGAGGGGGATGTGGGGAGTGTCTTTCAGATTCACAGTCGGGAGCCATGTCAGTGAAGGTTTGGGATTTTTGTTTGCTTCTGACTTGTGTGAAGCTCCGGACTGATTTTTCTGTGGGTCAGTGGTCCTGACCTAAAACAGGTTCCCCATGTCTGATTTAAGCCTTATAATCTGTATCTTTACATCCCCCCAAAGGCCTCCAGCAGCTCAAAAAACCCGCAAACAAAACCCCTTCCTAGGTACACTAGAGAGAGCCAGATTCCGTCAGCGAGGAGATAAGCAAGGGCAGTGTCGCTGGCTGTTTGAGCCGAGACTTTGCCAAAGGACGTTCAGATACCAACTGGGCACTGTGTTCCCTTAGCAAGGAACAGGGCAGACTCCAAGATCATTGGCAGCCCTCACATCCAGGGAACTTTTTTGGCTGCTAGGGCAAGAGCTCGAAGAATTAGCTTTTCCCGCCTGAGATCAACGGCAAGCAAGGTGGCAGGACACCAGCGTCTCAAAGGGGCCCCCTGTTGATGCGCCAGCAAAGACCCCGGTGGCTTTTCACTCCTGCGGGGAATACAGTCCCATGGCTGCACATCGCATGGCAGATGTCCCCACCTTCGCCATGAAGGGGAACTGAAGCCCAGTCCGGTTTGTGCCTGGGGAAACAGGCTTCAGACTGCGGGGTCCTTGACACTATCCCAGTGGATTCTGCAAACCACTCTGCCTCACCGGAAACCATGGATTGCCGTCTAGGCTTGGCCTTCTAACACTGCCGGTGTGAATCTAAGCCACGTGCAAGAGGAAGCAGCAAGGACTCATGTTCTGGGCCACGCTAAGTCTAAATTCTCTGCCGGCTCCGTTTCCCTTACGATTCCCGTGGGCTCAGGTAGCAGCAGCTCAGCAATTCTGTGGCAGCCTCAGGCAGTCACGAAATGGCCTCTATTGCTGAGCAGAGTGGGGAGAGTCCAAGCTGCACAACTATTGCTGTTGGAAGGACCCTACCCCATGGAGGCTGCACCAGGGTGCAGCTCCTCAGACTAAACCAGCCCTAATTCCAGGAGGAGCCTCGCCTGAGTGGGGTCAGGAATTCCCTACAAAATATGGGAGGTGGCTGAAGCAAGTCCAGGCAACAGCTCAGGAAAGAGAGGCCTGGGAAGCTGTAGCTCAGGCGTGGGAACCTTTAATGGGTTGTGGGCCACTGACCCACAGAAAAATCAGTTGGGGGCCACACACATGTGAGAAGCTGGGGAGGACCCCGGGCCTGAGGTTCACCACCCCTGCTGTCGCTGGGGAGGAGAAGAAGAAAACTGCTGCAGGGAGCTAGGTTAACTCTTTCGGGGATGGGAGAGGGCTGGCAATGCCCCAGCTAAGGGGAGAGATGCTGTACTGAGGGTATGGCTTGGAGGGCCAGTGGATAGCGCAGGGCTGGGCAAGATACAGCCCAGGGGCCGGATCCATCCCTCCTAGCACTTTGATCCTGCCCGTGGGCTCCTCTCTATTTACATTTTGCTGCCCATGCCACCGAATTTCCAGGCGCTGGCTCAGGCAATAGGATCTTATTCAAATGGCTAATGGCTCCCAATCTCAGCACTAATCCAGCAGGGGCCGGAGCTGTAAGCCCTTTGCTGTGTTTTTAATTCAAAGCCTCTGGCCCCAGACAATTCTGGAGGGAGACTAGTCCCCAGCCCTGCCCCTTTTACCCAGGCCCTGCCCCTCCCGGGGGTGGAGTCAGCCCATGACTGCATTCCAAAATTCATTAAGTGCTCCCCCGTGTAAAAATTATTGCCCGCTCCTGGTATAGCGTGTCTAGCTACCCATGGAAAGGCAGTCAGAAGAGTTGCTTGCTGTAGCAGGATGTTGCCGCTAATACCCTCAGCAGTGAAATGGTTAACATGCTGCTGTGTCAGCAACTAGCCATCAGTAGGGTTCAGAGTGAATGCTCTGATCAGCTAACTGGAGGTGAGTGGCGTGTCTCCCAGAGCTATCGGGCCAGGCTGGAAGCTGGCAGAACTGGAGATCAAGTTTCATACAGCCACAAGGAGGAGCCTTTTTAGGGAAAAAGCTGCTGGGAGCTGAGGAGCTATGTGCCAGCAGTCCCCCCAGTATGCTGTTCTGCTTAATTGTCCATTTCTTGGCTGCTGCTCACTGCGGTGTCCAGATCCCAAGGGGCTGCTGCTTCATCACATCCCCCAGAGGCAAGGAGGAGCTCACCCACATCATCAACAATCTCTTCCCCCGCCCCTCCCCGCTGTCGGCTCCTGTCCTCCCCATGTTGTGCTGACTGAGTAGGTGGTTCCCTCGTTTCACTGGCTGGCATACTGCATCAAAGGGCAGCTGAGGGGAGAGGAGATACAGATGGAGGGGTGCTAGGGCCAAATCTACTGTAAGTGACACTGCAACCCTGCACCCCAGGAGGCAAAGTTGCTTAGGTTGGGGATGCTCTGAAAGGGGATCCAGTACAGCCTTCCCACCCCTTCCCTAGGCAGTGCCACCCAGAGGATTTAGGGGGCCCGGGGCAAAGCAATTTCAGGGGCCCTTTCCATAAAAAAGTTGCAACTCCAAACTTTTTTGGGGGGGGGGGGGGGCCTGGGGCAAATTGCCCCACTTGCCCCCCCTCTGGGCGGCTCTGTCCTAGGTGGATGGGGAGACATTCTTCAGCCAGAACAGGGGCTTGGGGTCATCCACCTGGGACAGTCCCACTCACCCTCTCGCTGTGACACAACATGTTGCTGGTACTGAACTGCAGAGGGCAGCAAACACACACGGTCGGGGCTGGGGGGGAGGGGAGGAAGGGACCTACAGAGATCAGAGCAGGGGGCTTCAGGGACCATGTAGCACTGATTCACAAGGGGGCAACACGTCCAGGCGACTGCCCCCACTGGGTTAAAGTTAGACTGTAATGAGTTTGGGGCATGGCTTGTTTTTTGGTCCTGTGTATGAATAACTAACACACAGACACCCCCCCTCTACACACCCACCCCACACACTTTTTTTTCTTTGGGGGATCAGAGCAGGGGGCTTCAGGGACCATGTAGCACTGATTCACAAGGGGGCAACACGTCCAGGCGACTGCCCCCACTGGGTTAAAGTTAGACTGTAATGAGTTTGGGGCATGGCTTGTTTTTTGGTCCTGTGTATGAATAACTAACACACAGACACCCCCCCTCTACACACCCACCCCACACACTTTTTTTTCTTTGGGG